TTTATGTTTTTTTTGTTTTTTTTTTGCTTTGTTTTCTGTTTTCTTTTCTTTATCTATTTTCTTTTCTATTTTATTCTTTTAACTTCTGTTTTACAAAATATAAATACAACTCCTAAATTAATGTTATAATTTATTCTACTGCCCCAAAAAGTTTGACACCTAATAAAAATAGTTTGCATTATTATTAATTATAAAAGGCATTTAATTAATTGTCACAGCTGCTGTTTTAATTACTCTAGAGCCTTTAACATATTATAAAATTGTGGTTTCCCCACAATAATTACCTGTGCATTATTTTGTTCACTCCGAACATTTTAGTTTTAAAATTTGAAGACTTTTATTGTTTGCCTGATTTTGAACTTGAATTTGAATCGTTTTGAACTAACACGAGTTTACCAACAGTAAACGAGGTGACGTGGCATCATTAGCAGAGAATTACTGTAGCTTAATTATCCGGGCGTCACAGCTTACGTGTCGGTCATCAACACTCACTGTTTTGGCTGATTCTGATTCGTTTCGTGTACTATTACTCACTGTTTTAGGGTCGCAAAGTGATTTCCACAATTGACGATCACCGAGGTGCGTTTACGTTTCGATGGTCATCACTCATAGTTTTGGCCAATTCTGGCCCGTTTCATGGATTATTACTCACTGTTTTAGGGTCCCGAAGCGATCTTCATAGTTGTTGAACCCCAAGTTTGTGCTTACGTGTCGGTCATTAAAACTCACAATTTTGTCCGATTCTGACCCGTTTTCGTGGACTATTTATAACTCTAGTGAATGTATCAAACACCAATTGAGAGAAGAACCAGATAAGATCAATGGCCAGAAGAGAGGCCATGTGAAGTCCACAAACCAAGCAGTAGCAGACCACTCGCATACAGATCAGATCTGCCTAACAACGTCTCTTCTTCTTGATAAAGTCAACAACTTTGGTTGAGACGGGACGTGCCATGCCATTGCCAGCGACCGACGGCAACAACCTCCATTGATTCATTCACTATATTCCTACCACGACGTGCTTAGCCAGCACAGCTGCATACCAACCAACGGGGGAAGATCTACCTACCCAATCACTCCCTCGACCACCATGGCCGCGCCCGCGCCCACCGTCGCCAAGTCGCCGCCGGCGCTCGTGCCCCCGGCGGGGCCGACCCCGGGAGGCACGCTCCCGCTCTCCTCCATCGACAAGACTGCCGCCGTCCGCGTCATGGTTGACTTCATCCAGGTCTTCCAGTCCCCCTCCTCCGACTCCTCCTCCGTCGACGAACAGGTGGCCGCCATGCGCCAGGGCTTCGCCAGGGCGCTCGTCCCCTACTACCCGGTGGCCGGCCGCATCGCCGAGCCGACCCCGGGCGAGCCCGTGGTCGACTGCACCGGCGAGGGCGTCTGGTTCGTGGAGGCCGCCGCCAGCTGCTCCCTCGCCGACGTCAACGGCCTCGAGGACCGCCCGCTCGCCATCCCCAAGGCCGACCTCATCCCCCGCCCTCCCGCCGACCACAAGCTCGAGGACCAGATCCTCCTCGCGCAGGTTGGTCCGCATCTCCTCCTCTGTCCCAGGGTCCCGATCCCGATCCAGTCCAGCAAAAGAAGCTGAATTTATTCGATGCAGATCACCAAGTTCACCTGCGGCGGCTACGCCGTCGGCATTTGCTTCAGCCACCTGGTGTTCGACGGGCAGGGCGCGGCGCAGTTCCTCACGGCCGTCGGCGAGATGGCGCGGGGCCTCCCGGAGCCGTCGGTCAAGCCGATCTGGTCCCGCGACGCCATCCCCAACCCGCCCAAGCCGCCGCTCGGCCCGCCGCCGTCCTTCACGGCCTTCAACTTCGTCAAGTCCACCGTGGAGATCTCGCTCGACAGCATCAAGCGCGTCAAGGACCAGGTCGCCGCCGAGACGGCCCAGCGATGCTCCACCTTCGACGTGGTGACCGCCATGATCTTCAAGTGCCGCGCCGCGGCCATCGGGTCCGCGCCCGACGCCGAGGTGCGCCTGGGCTTCGCGGCCGGCACGCGCCACCTGCTCGGCAGCTCCCTGCCATCGCCGGAAGGCTACTACGGCAACTGCGTGTACCCCGGCGGGCTCGCCAGGGCCAGCAAGGACGTCGAGGAGGCGTCACTGGTGGAGATTGTGACCGCGATCCGGGAGGCCAAGGACGCGCTGTCGGCTCGGTTCCTGGACTGGCTGGGCGGCGGCGCCAAGGACAGCCACTACAATGTGTCGCTGGACTACGGCACGCTGGTGGTGACCGACTGGAGCCACGTCGGGTTCAACGACGTCGACTACGGCTTTGGCGAGCCCACCTACGTCTTCACCTTGAACGACGACGTCAACATTGTGCCGTCCGTGGTGTACCTCAAGCCGCCCAAGCCGAAGCAGGGCATCCGGCTGGTGCTCCAGTGCGTCGAGGAGCCGCACGCCACCGTCTTCACCGATGAGCTGCACAAGCTCGCCTAAGAGAGCTTGCGTTCGTCATGGTTACCTCCATACTTTACCTTACAGAAGAATTACAGGTGGGATTTGGACTTGTTGTTGTTGTTGTTGTTGTTGTTGTTGTTGTTGTTGTTGTTGTTGTATTCTTCATCTTCTTGTGTGTTGTAGTATTCATTCCACACCAGGTTTTGCTTCCAACGAACAAATAAATCAATGAGGGGTTCTTCTTTCTTTGTGTCTGTATACTTACATTGTACATGTATTTGACATTGTGAATCAACAGAATAATGTCATGTGTTCCAAGTGAATCATTCATTGTAGATTGTCAACCACAAGCTTGTTGGGTATTATGCAATTGCATTCATGATTTCATATAGGAGTATATGCTTGTTGGGTAGCTCTGTTTTTTCTCTTCTTTTTTGATTGAGACGAGATCTGTGCCATATAATATGAATTGATGTTTCATTCATAGGTTGAAACATGTACAAACTCGGTTCGAGTTATTTCGCGCTGGAATTTGATACTGTTGCCTGTCAATTTACTTTGATGTCTGATCACAAGTGCAAAAACAGAGGTAGTTTTGATCTAGGCAGAGTAGAATTTCATATCATACACTGATGGAAACGGAGGAGATGGAGCGAGTCCGGCAAGGAAACATCTCCCAATAACAAGCGGACTACGTACTGTGCTTAACAGGGAGGGATCTATTCATCCATGGATTATTACAGGTAGGCAATCTTCAGTTTCCTGCCCCTTCCATGGGCACCAACAAGAAGAAGACGGCCACAAC